TAAAAGTTGCCTTTGATCTAGCTGAGTTCTGTTGCCTGGTGGAGTGGATAATCCCTACAATTTATAAAATTCATAAATACTTAATCTAACCCATCTAGAGAGTCTGTACAGAAATCCCTTTTCCTTTTTTTTTCTTTTTTTTATCCACGAGCCATAAACAGCCTTGAAGATTGTCTAAAGAGGACTGAAAAGTTTACCTTTCATTGCATTTTGTCCACCACATTAATGACCTTAACACTTGTTGTGGAATTAATTTTTTTTTATTCATGCTGTCTAAACCTGGTATGTAATTCTTTGCTAACCAGTGCAGAAGGTCTCTCATCTGAAGACAAGCAAAAGGAGTCATTGCTGTGGATGACGCCAGCAGACCCAGCAATCAAAGGAAGAAAAGAATTAACTGTCTTGGTAAGTGGTTCAGGAGATATACACATCTGTTTGTTTTGATATATCTCGTCTGGGAGAAAAGCTCTCTCCACAGTTGAATCCAATATGGCTTTTATAAAAAGAATCCTTTGAGTGAGTTTAGACAGGACTTTTCCCAATATATCTGTACTCCCAGACTGACAAATGGTGAACGTATTTGACTTACATGTACTAAGATATCTTCCCTGGACAACATTTTTATTAGACAGTCCTCTAGGTGCAGGATACATATGTTCTTAGCTATGCTGCTACAACACACAGGCATTTTGTAAACTTCCTGAGTGCTGTACACAACTCAAAAAGGAAGACGTACTGAAAATGGTCCTGTTCAACAATGAAATGCAGGTACCTCCAAGGACATGACCTTACAGAAAAGTGGACATATTCATCGTTGAGGTCCAGAGGTACACACCACTCCTGGAGAGAAAGAGAAGGTATTACAGAAGTTAGAGACAACATGCAGAAGCATAATTTCTTTATATAAGGCCATGTCTACATTACCACTTATGTTGGCAAAACTTACATCACTCAGGGATGTATGTGGAAAAACACACACCCCTGAGTGACATCAATTTTGCTGGCGTAAGTGGCCATGTTCACAGTGCTATGTTGGTGGAAGAGCTTCTCCCACTAACATCGCTGCCTCCGCTTATTGGGGATGGTCTAATTATGTCGATGGGAGAGCTCTCTCCCATCGGCATACAGTAGCTACACAAGCGATCTTACAGTGGCGCAGCTGCATCAGTACATCTGTGCTGCTGTAAACTATCTAGTCTAGATAAAGCCTATGCGTTCAATCTCTTTAAATCCGAAATAAAGCAAAGGCCCATTTCTTTTTTGGGGAGTAGAAAACAAGAAGTAAAACCCATTCCCTCTGCAATCTCATGGAACTACCTCTGTGGCACCCTGCTGTAGCAGAGATTGAACCTCCTTTTTTAAACAAATCAAGACGACTTTGATCTCTGCCCAGATATGAAACTGGTGGTTGTTAGGGGAAAAGGTTTGAATTAAATTGTGAAACCACATGAAATAACTTCTAAAATGCATCTATCCAATGTTGTTAACTCCCATTGATAATCAAAATGGGACTACTGGTACCCAAACTGTGGATAAGTAATGTCCAAGCGGACTGGCTTGAAGCTCTGTGTCAAAGTGGATGTCTTGGAGGAACCATAGAAGATGAACATGAAACTTTCCCTTTAATATTGCAAGGTTTAAATTTCTTCCTCACTTGTAGTTGATGTTGTGGGGTATAATGAGAGTGGAAATGATATGACTTTTTCTAATAATTGTAATGAAGTGAAGGACACGAAGGAGGTGGGATTACATTTGATATTTATGTAATGGAGTCGAATAAGGCCTCTTCCCTGTATTAAAGAAACCTAAAGAGCTTAAATTTTTCATTTTCTCCAGTATTTCATCAGTCTGACCACTAAACGGACTATCTCCTTCAAATGGAACGTCCACAATCCTCATTTTTATTTTGCAAGGGAGTCCCACTGATCTTAACCATGCATGTCTCCTTAATGACAGCCAAAGCTACTGATCTTGCTGAAGTATCTGAGGAGTCAAAAGATGCTCTCAGTTGTTGCTTAGCAACATTCAGTCCTTCAGCCAAAACAGCATTGCATAATTTTTTTGTGTTTCGCTGGAAGAGCATTAAGAAAAAGAGGACATATTGCTCTAGAGATGGTATTTGTACCTAGCCATGACATCTTCATAGTTGGAAATGTGCATGTATTATGTAGCTGAAGAAAATATTTGTCTTCTTAATTCATCTACCTTCTTCCCTTCTTTATTGATGCAGTAGAGTGATTTCGGGCATCTTTTGATTTGAGAAGTGCCACTTCAACCACCAACTAATTAGGAGGCAGATGAGTATGAAATGTAGCCATTCCTTCTTGATGGAAATGATGTAATTTGTCTGTCTTCTTAGACAGAGGCTGAGTGGTTAAGGCAGTCTTCCAGACTGGTTGAGACAGCAAAGGCAACCCCCTCTAATAATGGAAGTGTGTCTCATTATCTAGCCTCTGCCCCCAAAATGTAAAAGACTATAGGATGTTCAATATTTTCATTGATGATCTGGAGGATGGCATGGATTGCACCCTCAGCAAGTTTGCAGATGACACTCAACTGGGAGGAGTGGTAGCTACGCTTGAGGATAGGGATAGGATACAGAGGGACCTAGACACATTAGAGGTTTGGGTCAAAAGAAATCTGATGAGGTTCAACAAGGACAAGTGTAGAGTCCTGCATTCAGGAAGGAAGAATCCCATGCACTGCTACAGACTAGGGACCGAATGGCTAGGCAGCAGTTCTACGGAAAAGGACCTAGGAGTTATGGTGGACGAGAAGCTGGATATGAGTCAACAGTGTGCCCTTGTTGCCAAGAAGGCTAATGGCATTTTGGGCTGTACAAGTAGGAGCATTGCCAGCAGACTGAGGGACGTGGTCATTCCCCACTATTGGGCATTGGTGAGGCCTCATCTGGAGTACTGTGTCCAGTTTGGGGCCCCACACTAGAAGAAGATGTGCAAAAATTGGAAAGAGGGCAAAAAAATGATTAGGGGACTGCAACACATGACTTATGAGGAGAGGCTGAAGGAATTGGGATTTTTTAGTCTGCAGAAGAGAAGAATGAGGGGGGATTTGATAGCTGCTTTCAACTACCTGAAAGGGGGTTCTAAAGAGAATAGATCTAGACTGTTCTCAGTGGTACCAGATGATAGAACAAGGAGTAATGGTCTCAAGTTGCAGTGGGGAAGGTTTAGGTTGGATATTAGGAAAAACTTTTTCACTAGGAGGGTGGTGAAGCACCGGAATGCGTTACCTCGGGAGGTGGTGGAATCTCCTTCCTTACATGTTTTTAAGGTCAGGCTTGACAAAGCCCTGGCTGGGATGATTTAGTTGGGGATTAGGTCCTGCTTTGAGCTGGGGGTTGGAATAGATGACCTCCTAAGGTCCCTTCCAATAAAATAGCACATAGCTATTAACAGTAGCTGACTTGAAATTATTCACCTCTTATATGCAAAAGTATATGTAAATCTCTGATTTGAATAATAGATTTTTCTGTCTCTCTAGCTTCAATTCCATTTAGAATATTTATTTAAAATAAAAACTATACCTTGGAATCTATGGCTTACCTGTAAATTGTATTTCTTATGGGTCCCAATAATCCATGCAAATGAGTCCTCCTCTCCCCATAGTTGATTGTCAGGTAGACTGACATCAAAAGAAAGAGGAGTCTGCTGCCACAAGAAGTCTCTGCTGCTGATGCAATTATGCCAGGAGAGTGGCTTTACTTGAATCAACATCCAATCATATGTGGTTAACATCAAACATCTGTGACAGAGAACAAACAACTAACAACTAGGGCATAGGGATTTCTGGAACTACTCTTATGGAAACCCATACACAGATACAGGAAGCGGGAGGGGCAATTCCTGTCTGCAGCAGGTAGCTCCAGTAATCTATACTAATGGTGTCTAACCACCAGTACCAATATGCCAAATTAGGATGGGGGGAAATAATATACCGACCTTTTTTGATTTGTTTTAATTATTGGATTACTGAATTACACCACTTAGAATACTTCTGCTGAAAGCTATGTCAACTGAGACTCAGTCATCCACTCAAAGTCATTTTGCAAATCCTCCTATAGAAGCTACCCTGCTCATGAGGCAACCTGTCCCCTAGGCTGCTGGCCTTTTATCGATAGGGGACAAGAGATACTCCTCCCCCTTCCCCATGGCAGGGAATGTTGTGAAGGCCAAAACTGTAATGGGGCTCAAAAAAGAACCAGGTAAGTTCATGGAGGATAGGTCCATCAATGGCTATTAGCCAATATGGTCATGGATGCAATCCTATGCTTGGGTGGGCCTTCTGATTGCCAGAAACTGGGAGTGGTAGACAGGGGATGGATCACTTGATGATTGCCCGTTCTGTTCATTCTCTCTGAAGCACACATTGGCCACTAGGGGAAGACAGGATAGTAGCCTAGATGGACCATTGATCTGACTCAGTATGGCCATTCTTATGTTCGTATCTCAACTCTTTCTCAGTGGATGCTTCAAGGATAACTGAATGATTCTCTTAAGAGATGCTTTGAAGCTGGTTTGCCTTTCTGTGCTGCTCCAAAAAGACACAGCAATATTTCAAAGTAAAGTTGGATGACATGTGGATTGGAAGTGGATGAGACTTGCAACTGCCATAGTTGAGTCCTGTTCTGCGAGAAGTGGCCATCTGTAAAATGGGGAAGAATGATACTTGCCTGCCCATTAGAGTGGGGAGGTAGGAGGCCTTGCTCAATAAAATAGGTTGTAAAGAAAAATAATAAATTAACGACAGTCAGTGGCAGAATTTAAAATGCAGAAAATAGAAAAGTAAGGCAGTGAAACAAATGAGGAAACAAAGGAAGAAGAAACAACCTTCAGGTAGGCAAGAGTGAGAAGGAACAAAAAGGACAAAAAAGAGAAAAGAGGCAGATGAAAGAGAGAAAAGTAAATAATTAAATGAAAATAGTGAGACAAGACACAGCTATACGTTTAATAAAACCAATTTTTATTCAATATAGCATGTTTTATTGCAGCACTAAGAGAATACAAATTGACAGCAAATTCACGTAAAGTAATGTAAATGAAAATGCAAATCGGCTGTGCCCACTGGACTCTTGATAAATTGCCAGTGTAGCACTTGGTGCTGCAAAGATTGTGACCTACTGAAGAGAAATATAAATCATATACATTTGAACAGGTCTGACAATGAAATTGACACCTGCAGCAGAAGGTAGTATTTGAACATGCACATGTAATGTATACAAAATATATAGTTCTTGTCAGGACCTTCATAGCACCTTGATTTCACATGCCCATAATTTTCTGAAAAAGTCCTCACTGAACATGAAAAGTTTCAACATCAGTCTCATCCCAGAGATTATTTTTTTGGGGAAATTTTAGAAAAATTCCTTTAGCTGCTATTGAGTTACTGAAGAGAGCAAGCAAGAGAGAGAGGATGGTAGGGGAGAATTATGTTAAATATTTAAAGTATTGCTGATTTCCTGACCATTACCGCTGCAAAGAATCAAGGGCTAGGAACCTTATCTGAATCTAACTGAAGGGGAAAAAATGAGGTGGCAGTAGATTTAGGATCCCCCTCTCTTTTGACCAAAGTAAGTCCTACACCTATTAATTATGTCCAAGAGGGAACCTAGATATCCCGTCACATCAGCAATGGAGATCTGGTAATAGGAGACAGCTGTTACAATGACTTAAAAGCCCCTTCAACCAGGAGCATTATGAACCCCAGAGAAACCAGCAGCTCTCTACCTTGAGATCCAGACTAGGGATGGGGTGCTGTGAGAACTGTATAAAATTGTTAGGAAAGTATAGTCCGTAAAGCAGTCATGATAGGGTTAACTAGGTTACCCGGATGGATGGAGCCTGGCTTCATCCCTTCTTAACCTCCTGTTTTATCCAGTGGGATTTTTTCCCTGCCACTCTGTGATGCAGTTGAATAAAGCAGCAGGTTCTCACTCTGCAAGTAGGCTTATTTTTGTTGCATTGAACAGCAGTCCTTTTCAAAACTGAAAACAACATAATAATGTAATTTATGGGAAAACTAAGGAGTTTAATAAAGAAATACTTACAAAGACTGGGCCACAATTTTCTTGCAAATAAGGACAAACAGTTCTGTGGCAATAAAATTTACTTTCTGTCAAGGAGTTAGTTACAGTCTCAGTAACCCAGAGATACAAGTTTAGAAGACATGAAGAAGGTTTTACCAGAGCACTACACGCCAAAACCAAACATTACTGTAGAACATTTTACAGTAGAATGAGGAGGCAAAGTGAAACTGTAGCTGTACATGTGGCAGAGCTAAAAAGATTTCAAATGAGCACTATTCAGTTAAATGTCCCAATGGATATGCTGTGGGATGGACTGGTTTGTGATGTTAATAATGAGAGAATTCAAAGATGATTGCTGGCAAAAGGAAACTTAACCTGGCCCAAAGCAATAGAATTAGCAACAGCAATGGAAGCAGCGGTGAAAAACTTACAAGATTTTCACTTAGAATACAGGTGCGATCAGACTGACTCAATAAACAAAATGCAAAACCAGCTGAAAGGGATGCAGGCTCCTGAAGGTGTTTCTGCTGTGGAGCTCATTTTACATCGTCTGTAAAGACCAGTGTCACAAAAAGCCTCAAGATTGGACACGTAGCCAGAAAATGCAAAGGTGACTATCAATCAAGCCAGGAAGGTAGACTCCAAAAGGCCAGAGGAAAAGGAAGAAAGCAGAGGACATTTTACCTTGAGGGGGGAAGAAGACACAAAGGAAGGGATATGGGCTAGATACTGTCAAGAAGAGAAGAAAGTGGGACCTTATGAAGTAACAGTAGAGTTAAACAATCAGTCAGTACACATGTAATACAGGGGCTTTAGCTACTGTGATCAATGAATCTACGTATCAACAGTGACTGAGTCCACTAGCAAATGCAGGAGTGATCCCGTGTGTCTACGCCACAGAACCCATCCAAGTGGTAGATTCTGTGCCAAAAGAAAAAGGTTACTAGTCCCAGTGATCCAAGGACAAAGGCAAAATCTGTTAGGCAGAAACTGGTTACACAAACTAAAACAGAATTGGGAGGAAATTTTCAAAATTGGACCCTACCAAAACTCCAGGAAGCCCTGGGCACTCACCATTTTACTACAGTATAAACGTCATCTGGGTTTTTTAATTATTTTTTTACTGCCACAATATTAACAGTAATTTGTGTTCAGGATTGTGTTGTGCATTGGGTATCAAAGAAGTTTTTTTTAATATTTATTAAATACATGTAAAAAGTGAAGCAAAAGAAAAAAAACCAACACTTAAAACATAAGTAAATGTTCATTGTAACTATTTCTCTTATAGCCTCTTATTTGCATAGAGCTTGTAGTTGCACTTGATTGGTAGTTTTTCAGATGGTGTTAAAGGTTCTTTTGTGGACAAAGAGCCAATTTTAGGTGGTAGATGTTAGCTCTCCAGTTTTGCTGAAAAAGTCTAAGTTTGTTTCTTCTTAAGACACACGCTGGAAGAGGAAAAACAGGAGAAAGGAAAATGCAGCTTTATGTCTTCTCTTCAGTTGCTGGAAGACCCCTGGCACAACACATAAATGAGTCAATTAGCTATTTGTGGACCCCAAGATTTACTTCTCTTGGCTGTGAGCAATATTTAATTGAATTTCTCTGATCTTCCTCTTGGTGGACACACCACCGTATTAGCCACTCGAGGTCCCGTCAAGCTTTTATAAGAATCAAACAGTTAAGCAGCATATTTAGCATGAAATTTTATTTTAATTTATTTTTAGTTTACAGCAAAGTGTTGCAATGTTAGATTTGTCCTGGCTGGCTACGTGGACTCTTGTTTGGCAAAGACAGAGAGGAAAGACAAAGGTGGTGGTGGAAAATAACGCACAAGGGATTAGCTGATGGTAGGTACCTTAGAAGTTTCCAATGGAGCAACCATGGAGATAGCAATGACATCTGGGCCCCTCTCAGGTCTAATCAGAATATTTTTCAGGATCAGGAAAAAGAACCAACCATGTCATGCTAAATCCCTAATCAATGCTGCTGCTCCAAAGCTCACTGCCATACTGCCGCTGTACATGCCAAAAGGAGAAATTGTCCATATACGGACACTTTATTGAATGCCACACTCGAGCCTTCTAAATAGTATGACAATGTTGTATCCGCAGCAGAAGGCCTCAATTCTCCTAATCAACAGGATTTTTAGTTCAAATAAACTCAGTTGCTATCACTTCTGTGATTATTTTGTACCTTCATTGAACAGCAATTTTATATGAACACATTTATATGTTAAAATGACCTACCAGATGCTTTGCAGCCTCTCTCTTCAGACAATTAAACAGTGGTGGGAACACACACTTCCTGAAAACAACACATGCAGGAGAAGGGAGCACAGATGATTTAACTGCCACTGAAAACAAGCAGTTTGTGTGCTGATCTTCCCCACCCTCTGTCATGAATCTCATGGCAGGAGTGCCACTTTCATTTTCCCTTACCTAGAGTGGAGAGGAACTAGACCCTTAGGTCTGGCCCTCCCTTTCTATCCTGCCAGCGTGCGGGGGGGGGGGGGGGAGGAGACAAGGGACGGACACGACACCAGATAGTCACATCTTAAGATTTTTTATAGTTAGCAATAAATAAAAAAAGTCTGACATAAAAGGCCTCTGTAATAGGGTGCTTGGAGGGCCAGTCTGCATAGTGGTTGTAGTACTTGGCTTCCTGCCCCCTGCTTCTGTGGTCGAGGTGCCTCAGTCTTTAAGGCAAGGGGGTAGGGGGAATCTGTCCCTCCCACTCCACCACATCCCAGCCCAGGGCCCCGAGTAAGCCAACCCCTGAGTAGGGAGTCTATGTTCACTACCCTGGTCTATTTCTGACTGTTGCCCCTCAGTTTGGGGTATGGCTCCTATAGTCCAAGTTCCTGTGGTGGTTTTCCTCTAGTAGTGCCCTCTGGTGACATCCGGCTGCAGTCCCAGGTTCTTCCAGGCAGGGCAGCCACAAGTTTGACGGGGACAGAACCCCACAAGGTCTCCATGCTTTTGTCACCCACATTCACCTCAGGCCAGGTGCTTTCAGATATATTTCTCCATTTCCTTTGTCCAGGAAGATGGCACTTGGTTCCAGGTGGCTGCCTCGGCTGGCAGGCTAGAGATCCTTCCCTCAGGCAGGACAGCAGCTAGTTCCTGCCTCTAGCCCCAGACTGAGCTAGACTGCCTCCGTCTCTCTCCCTTGCAGGCCTGACACTGGCTGCAGATATAACAGGGCAGAGCGAGCTGGGCCCATACACTCTCTTTAATCTCTTCAATGCTTGTGGGCAGTTTCTCAGCTTCACCACAGCCTCCCTCTATTGCATGCAATTAGCCCTGATTTCAGAGCAGGCTTTTTAGTTGGGTGTGGGAAAAAATTATAATGGAAGTTACAATTGACTGAAAAGTCACTTTTGAACTCATTCATTTGGCATCTGCCAAGATTTTAACCAGAGCGTAAGGCACCCAAAAGGAAAGAGGCTTCAGTTTCACTAAATGACAGTTACCCACCTGCAACCAGCATTCTTTGTGATGGATTCTCTGCACTCACACTCAGGGGGATATGCCAGCAGTGCAGCTCTGAGGGTGGAACGTTTCATAGCAGTGTTGTTTAAAGTGCTCGTGTCCCATCTCACTTCCCTTCATTGTTCCTGCACATTCTGAGGATATCTGCTTTATATCTACGGATATTTGCATCCATGTTTGCAGATCACAGATTGGATGCAGATACAAATTTTGCATCTCTGCAAGGCTCAAGCTATAAGGTGGAGAGTCAGGCACCTCCATCAGCTTCCTCAGTCCTCTCCAACTGCATCCTCAGGTCTGAAATTGTAAATAGGATTCCAAGGGAAAGGGAGTGGCCGCTGCACATTTCCACTCATGGGATAGTTTGATAAGCAGGACTGTCATCTGAGGAAGATAGGACATGGAGTTCTAATGAAACACTTTCTACCAAAGCACCACTCTGCCAAACTGAACATCATACCAGGAGGCTAAGTCTAGTGCATAACGTTTAGCAAACGTGTAGCTAGAGCTTCACATAGCAGCTCTGCCAATTCCTACAATGGGAATATGCCAAAGGAGCTGCTGCATGTTAACTAATCTCTAATGGGAGAGGAACAGATACTAATTTGTAGGTCTCTTCAGTACATAATCTGTCCAGTTTAGACAGCAATTGTGAAGTAATTGCCTGCCCCTTTATTATTGTGTGCTGCAGCTCACGTGACAGGAAAGAGAGTGTCCTCCCACAAGCAAGTTAGATACCTTGTGTGGGAGGTCTGAAGTGGGGAATACACAGGACAAGAGGCACCCTCTAAAATCCTGGCCTCTTCCCCTTCAGTTCCATCACAGGATCTGTGAGGTGAGTGAACTAATAAAAGAAATACTTTTATAAAGAAAATAAACAAGCTAAAATGGCTAACAATAAAGCCAGCTAACTCAGAAATTTAACAAAGGTACTGGGTCTCTGAAGAGGTTGGACCAGTCCAGCGAGGTCCTTGACTATGGGGGCCCTAGGATTTACCTGAACCTGCTAACTTGAGTTAAAACTACCAACTGCCTTGTTTTCACTAGAATTTTAGCTCAAGTTAGTTACCATGTATTGCCAACATGAGTTAAGAGCACATCTTTTTTCCTAGTGAAGGCAAGATCTTTGTGACATCACAATGCCAGCCTGACCTCAGAGGCCCATGGCTACTGCCAAAATAACTTGCAGAAGGGAGAATGTAAAGATCTCATTTGAACACACACAACACAATTCTCCATAAGCTACAAAGCAGACTTCCATCTATTGTTGAGATAGCTTTTCATGTGAATTTAGTGTAATTTATCAGCAACATTTCTTCGTTTGAGTGTGTAGACTCAAATCAGGGAAGAGAAATACAGAAAGCTCTTTCTTTAAAAAAAATGCACTTCATAACAGAAAAAAAAATCTTACCATCGTGTTTTCAAATTAAAGATATTTTTCTAAAAGTAGATCAAAAATTCAGTCTGAAAGAAGTTAATAAGACAACTTTTAAGACTATGAGAAACTTGCTTCAATAATTTTGGTTTAGAAAAGATTTCCTCCAAGCTTTATGTAATTTTAGAACTTAATGTGAATCTCTCAGAAGATAAAACAAAACCAAAAATGAGAAAGACTTACCATTTAGAATAGTCTGCATAGAATTGTTTTGAGGTGTGAATAAAAAAAAAATCAGTTCCTGTCTATTAAGGGTTATTTATACCAGTGGTCTCCAAAGTGGGGTGCGTGGCAGGAGGAGCACTGCCGCCACCGTGCCGGCAGCTCTCCTGGACCTTTTATTCTTCAGTGGCACGCCGGCGACAGCTCAGCTCTCCCCGCTCCGTCTTCGATAGCACGCCTGCTACAGCTCTTCTTCTTTTCTTTTTTTTTTTTTGCTTCCCCAGAGCTGGCCCTGCGGGTGCGCGATTCAAAAAGTTTGGAGACCTCTGATTTATACTATAACATTTTCTGCATTGTACGTATCTTATTGTGCAAAGAATAGTTTTATTTAGGAAAGACTATTATTTACTTTGTCAATAATAAAAAGACAGGACTGAGATTATTATGAACATGTTTAGAACTGTCCCAATGTACAAAAATACTGGTTGGGAACACAACAAATAGAATAACCAATAGAATTATCTCTGTGTCTCAAATTTTGTTTGCTTCTGATAAATGTAGAAACTAGGAAAATATAAAGAGATGTTTATATAAACTGCTTATTAGTAGGCAACAACCCACATTATTTGGAAGGAAAAATCATCTCTGAAGAGACAGATAGATCACTAACCTCAAATATGCTCTTCCTCCTTAAAAAGCAGCTTATCATTTCAGAGGGGGAAGGGTCTGAACAAATCTGACTGCCATTCGAGGAGTACGCTACAGAGAACAGCTTGGACTTAAATCATCTAAATATTTAAACCTCTACTCACTTTATAGAACTCTATTGTACATATCATACAAGAAAGATTCTAATTTAATTATGTACCTAAATGCCTCCACTCGTCTTCTTTCAGTTAACATAACACATTATTTCTCACTTTCTCTACATCTCTTTATTTTTATGCTCTAGAACCTTGTACAAATACTTCCTTATACAAAACTAAGGATAAAAGTTCAAAATATGACAACTTCTAAACCAACCCCACCCCATCTCATAGAAATCACCCAAGAAAATTGTAAATTCCCTCATCCAAACTTCTTATCCCTGAAGCCATCCCTTCAGCAAAAGCCTAGTAAAATAATGCCCTTATTAACAGTAGAACATAAGACTATAACAGGGTTCAAAAAAGAACTGGATAAATTCATGGAGGATACATCCATCAATGGCTAATAGCCACGATGGACAGGGATGGAGTCCCTAGCCTCTGTCTGCCAGAAGCTGGGAAAGGGCGACAGGATGGATCACTTGATTACCTGCTCTGTTCATTCCCGCTGGGGCACCTGGCATTGGCCACTGTCGGAAGACAGGCTACTGGACTAGATGGACCTTTGGTCTGACCCAATATGGCTGTTCTTATGTTATGTTCAATAGATTAATGACTATTATATTGTTAGGGTAGTATTGTAGTTACCTGTATTAAAGTTCAGTTCAACCCAGCAGAGTGACTCTAAAAAATTGGCATTGTGAGATTCTATCTTTATTGTGACTCAGTGTTTCTAAATCAAATGTGTTCAGTGTACACAAGCAAATATTTTTGTTCACCTGGCAGGTCAGCAGATAGGCAAACATCTAGCTTGGAATATTGACATCCACATTCTAGTCCAGATCATACTTGCAGATCGCTCATCCTGTCTCATGCTTATTTTCTGACAGGAATCAGCTAGGTACTCAGCATACCCTTTCTGAATATCAGAACTACTTTGGTCCTTACATGCAGAACTTGTGAGACCCAACTGCAAGAAAATGATCCAGATCATCAGCCTCTATTGTCTTGGGGAAAACCCCAGCAACCTTTTGTTCTTCAGTGGACTTTGATCCTCTGTTAACCTTTATTAACCTGATTTGCAACACAGTATAAGCCTAATATACTTCATCCTTTGCCTCCTATGTTTTCACATTCCTGCCTGTATAGTTTATTTCTTGCTTAAAATCGGCTCTCCCATACTAATTACTTGTCCTAATAGTGTGTCGAAATTGCCATCTAATACCGTGATAGATTGATATGAACCCTTGCATCTTCTTCCAGGATTTATTAGGCAGAGCCTTTTAACTTTGTTGTACCTTCTGTTTCCTTCATAACATATTACAGATGGCATCCCTTTGAGAAGGAGGTGGTTTTCCTAAAAAGTCCTGTGGGGAGAGGGTTTATACTTTCTTTAAGCTATGGTTTGCAAAGACAGGATTTAGGAAATCAAAATGGATCGAACAAAACTACATAATAGTGCTGAATATACAAAGAAAGGGGAAGAAATCATGGCTTCCATCTGCATGTGTTTAACTGTTTCAGCACCCTGGCCTTTCTCACAGTTCAATTTTTCTTTTACTCAGCACTATTCTCTTAGGAGATTGAAAAGGTTATTTCTTTTCCTTGCAATTTTTGACCTTTACCATTACGAAGATACTGATTTTCTTCACAGCTTATCAGGGCCATCCTTAGGCATATGCAGCTGCACAGGGCACCATGAAATTTGGGGCACCAAACTGCCCCAAATTTCATGGTGCCCTAAGCAGCTGCGTGCTGCATACGTGGCAGCCTGAGCCCCAGTGACCAGCCTATCCCTCGGTCGCACCCCCCATGGGCTGCGCCCACTGCAAGGGGTGGGGCCATCCCCAGCGGGGGGTGGGGCCCTGGAAAATTCCCTCCACCCTGCCTCTTACCCTTTCCCCCTGCTCTGCCCCAGCCCACCCCCATTGCACCTCTTCCCCCAGTGACCCCGCACTCACCAGCAGCGGCAGAAGCGGAGCAGCCCGGCCCCAGCCAGCTCTACTCCACCAGCTCCCAGCCATGGTGCTCCACTTCCCGCCACTGGTGAGTGCGGGGAGGTTAGGGAAAGGATGCCCCCCCGCACTCACCAGCGGCAGGAAGTGGAATGACGTGGCCCCAGCTGTGGGACTCGGGTGGGGGTTGGGGAAAGTTTCCCCCCCAGCCACCCCACACTCACTGGTGGAGCACCGCGCCTGGGAACTGGCAGAATAGAGCTGGCTAAGGCCGGGCTGCTCCACTTCCCGCTGGTGAGTGTGTGTGCGCGCGTGTGTGTGTATGGTGGGGGGAAATCCCTTCCCCCAAGCGACAAGGCTGGGGCAAGGGAAGCGGAGCAGGCTGCTCCCAGCCCCCCACTAATCCCCTGGGCCATTCTGGGTCTGTGGGGCCCCCAAAAGTGCCACCCCACAGCTCCTGCCTCCCAGACCCGGGGGGAGGGGGGAAAGAGGCTTGGGGCCCCACACAGCCCCCCCATGGGGGGCTGCATAGGACACCCAAATGGCTAGGGACCTGCAGCTTATGGAGGAAAAGCTTTATCTGGTAAAAAGCTTGATGTTCAAAACACATACAAATGCAGACCAAAACAGCATCATGTCTTTCATGTTGGAGAGCAAGATTTTCAGTTTAAAGCTTTTAAAATATGACCTGACTAAACACATGGCTGTTTTACATGTTCATTGAGGTACAAGCCACAATAACAGGAAAAAGCAGCACTGTAAGGCCAGTAATGGGTACTGTTCTTCATTTAGACAATCTAGCAGCCAGTAGCCCCTGTCCATGTTGCTAAATAGGAAAAGGTGTTCCACAGGGTTAGGGCACTTTCCAAATTGTTACTACTACTTGAGAATCAGTTTCCATATAGTAATTGATTAAAGGTTTAGAAAACATGACCTATGAGGGAAGACTGAAAAAATTGGGTTTGTTTAGTCTGGAGAAGACAAGAGAGAGGGGACATGATAGCAGTTTTCAAGTACACAAAAGGTTTTTACAAGAAGGAGAGAGAAAAATTGTTCTCCTTAATCTTGGAGGAAAGGACAAGAAGCAAAGGACTTAAATTGCAGCAAAGGCAGTTTAGGTTGGACATTAGGAAAAACTTTCTGTCAGGGTGGTTAAGCACTGGAATAAATTAGCTAGGGAGACTGTGGAATCTCCATCATTGGAGATTTAAGAGCAGGTTAGACGAACACCTGTCAGGGATGGTCTAGATCAGTGTTTCTCTCAAATGCGGCCATCAGGGGCTTTTCTTGCGGCTACAGCCTTCTGGGCAGTGATTGGAGGGGTGGGGAAAACCAGTGGCCCCTCCCCTGGGACCACCAGGATGGGTTTGGCCCTGCTCCCCTCTGGAGCCACAATGACAGAGGAGCAGACAGCTGATGTGAGTTCCCCACCTTCCTGGGGAAAATGGGCCTCGAGCTTCTGGCTTCTGCCCTGGGGTGGTGTGCAGCAGGCTCCAGGCACGTTCTAACTGCGCGAGTGTGGGCTCCGGTCACAGGCTCTGGCACCCCAGCTGCAGGACCGGGCAGACTCCATCCCCTGACCCCTTCACCCCATCACCTACACTACCTCCCTACCTAAGGTTTAATTTAGCCCCCAACTTGCCAGGGCTGAGTAAGTCTGCTGTGAAAAGTGATATTTATATGTTTGTTAATATCACTTTTCACTGCCTCCCAGCTAGCAAAGAAGTCTTCTGTGAAAAGCGATATTAACAAACGTACAAAAATCATTTTTCACAGACGCAGAGATAGTAGTTAGCAAGTCTAAAACAAAAAATGCAGCCAAAAAAGCAAAACAAACAACAATAAGACAAGAACATACCATGTACCTTATCTGTGTTTCTATTCTGTTTAGGTCTAGTAAAGAATAGAGACAACTGTACCTTATTTTTATTATTCAGTCTGCAAAAAAACCCTTACATAAATAAATTACTATGATTTGGATGTGTATATGCTCATATTTATATGTTTTTCCTAAAGTTAATTAAGTATTTTCGGAAAAATTATTATAGCGGTCACCAGCAAGAGTTGGTAGCCGTACTCCAAGGCCACCAAAAATTTTGTTGTGAGAACACGTGGCTAGATAATACTTAGCCCTGCAATGAGTGCAGTGGACTCAACTAGATGACTTCTCGAGGTCCCTTCCAGTCCAACAATTCTTTCATTCTATGTATTGAAGAGTAAAGGGACAAGGTGGGGTCCCCTGGCCTGAATTTGGAAAGTGTGTGTTGGGGGAGTGGGTGTTGGTATCAGTCTAAACTAAAAATCAGTGAACTAAAATTAAATATCTAATTATATGTCTGTCAAGTTGGTGAAAACAAATTTTTCACTAGTAACATGAATACAGATAATAACTGTAACTTCCTTGGTAAGCTGTAACAATGCCGATTTTCCACAGTCCAACCTTCACATCAAGGAACCAGAATCGGCCTTCAAAGCAACATTTTTTTTTTTTTGTAACCTAGCAGCATTTAAAGAAAGTGAAAAGAGGAAAAATATCATGTCACTAGTTACAAAAAGTTACGACACAATTCTGTACAGATAGAAAACAATTAAATACCACTGCTATCTACAGTTCATTAGTACTGATTTAACATTAGTAAGGGGTCTTGGGAACTACAACTAATCCCAGTTTCAGATTTTCAGATGAAAAGTGCCACATAAGTACAAAATATTTCTTTCTATGAATCACCAAAACTGCTGAATAAAAACTAACTATAGAGTCATTAGTAAACCCCAGAGCTTAAACTGAGCCCTTGCTTGCCAATATCAAATGTATGTCCTAATAAGCAGGTATATAAAAGAGATCCATCCCATCTTATTTGTTAAAAAAAATGCAAGGCATAAAAATTAGCCACACTCTTTGTCTTGCACAAATTTTGTTTACTCCTGTCCATTGAAAAATATAGTCAGCTGCCAGATCCTAGTCTTCTGTCATACTACTACTTTGAAATAGGTTTGTAATTAACTCTTTTGTTAGATGTTTGTTTTGAGATTATGGCCATGCAGTCAATCATACAAGAAGTGTCAATGTACTCAAACTGACAAAGGGAGGTTCCATTAGCTTCCATTAGCAACAGACTACACTGCAGACTGTCAGTAGAGAGAGGACTAAGGAAGTTGCCCCAAGGAACTCTGGGATACATCCAGAGGACTTCCAGTATCCGGGTCAGACCAAGGCTGTGTACATATAGGAAAGCAATAGGGCTCGGTCACAAGATCTCAGCTTAACATGGGCTCAGACCCTCCAGCCCTGCAAAGTCCTGGGACACTAGGTTTGAGCCCTTAATTAACACAATTGGGGCGTGGGGATGCTCAGGCTTACATTGCTGTGTAGACATAGCCTTACTGTCATACATTCAGCATGCCCAATTTATATGCCAGGTATAGGTATGGTTTTTTGGGTCTATTAAAAAAAACTAATATTTGCATTGTTAATGCTGTATATGAATCATGTAGATAACAGTCTACTGTAAATGGAAGCTGGATCTCTCTTAAAATACAGAGGTCCAAGTTCCGCACACATACATACTGTATTTGAAGGTAGAAACTGGTCCAAAACAAAGTGATATGGTGAATGCATGGGTTATGCAATGTTATACACTTCACTCAGTTTTGACTATAATCCTTTTCTAGGTATTAAAATAAAGTAATAAATTAATCCTAATGGTTCTCAGTTTACAATTTCAGAATCCCCAGAAATATCATAAAAAGAAATTATAATCAATAGAAGATGGGCTACCTGGTGATCTAGTGACAGTGCAATACACAATAATGCAGGGATATGAGCATGATCCTGAGTTGCAGCCTGAGCTCTTGGACTAGCAGAGGCCACACACACACACCCCTCTCGAAAAAGGTGTGTGGGATAGGGGATAAGAAAGAACTGCCACCTTCATTATGCATCCATGCTGGAAGAAAAACAGAAGGCAATGGATGTTGTTTCATCAGGCTGCAACTTTATTCACTTAATATATCTGGCAGTACCCGGCACCGAATTGTATAGTCCAGGTCATGATTTCCTTAATTATTTCCATATAACCTCCAACCTTGTCCCAGCCATCCCATTGCTGGAACCCCTCTGCCCTCCCCTTATATGAAGTGAAAGTGGGGGGAGGAGGCTATAAAACGGTAGTTCTCAAACTTTTGTACTGGTGACCCCTTTCACATAGCAAGACTCTAAGTGCGACCTCCCCCCATATAAATTAAAAACACTTTTTAAATATATTTAACACTATTATAAATGTTTGAGGCAAAGCGGGGTTTGGGGTGGAGGCTGACATCTTGTGATCCTCCATGTAATAACCTCATGACCCCCTGAGGGGTCCCAACCCCCAGTTTGAGAACCCCTGCTGTAAAAGAGGGGGAGTTGGCTCCTCACTGTTCCAGACGTAGGAGCCCCAAGCACCCTTCCTTGGCTTCCTTAAAGGGGCTAGGAAAAGGAGGAGGGTCAGTTCCCCACTGTGGAAGACATAGGATTCCCCAAACCCCCTTTACAGGATGCTTTCCTGCCAATCTTTTTCCACCACTTTATTTGATAACGGTATCTGTTCCATAACAAGTACCTGCACAGCACAGCTGTAATTAGTTTTACGTACTAAGTTGTGACATTATAACCTAACCCTGCAGCTTCACCCAACTGGGTACCAGACCAGTTGTGGGAAGGCAACCCCTCCACCACCTCACTTTAGCCAATCTAATGGAGAGGGAAAAAATTCCTTCCCGGTCCCCCAAGGAAAAGGGCAACTTCTGTAATGCCCACAGCAAGTCAAGAGGTTTGCCGAGTTCATGGGTGGGTGGCTGTCAGCCATGGCTGTATAGGGAATAGATATCCCTCTCCCCACTGCCGCTCTTCCTATCAGCAGAAAGGGCAGTGTAGCG